TACATAATACTTTTTGTACCTATATATAACAACCTTAACACCCAAAAAGTTACTAATATATTATTTTTAATAAATGTGAACAAACTTTAGAACATAATATCTGCATTTTCATTGATCGATGAATAGCAAATATTTCAGAGCAAAAGGAAATATTTTTCAAATATTATTTAAATGTTATTTAGAAAATATTTGCTTCTAATATTTAATTAGCATGAAATAAATAAAATAATAATAGGTTACGTAATACTTTTTGTGTTTATATATAACACCACTAACACGCATAATATTTCAATTTTCATTGGTAAATAGATAGATAGAAATAGATAGTAAATAGAAAATATTTCAGAGCAAAAGAAAATATTATTTAAATGTTATTTCAAAAATATTTGTTTCTAATATTTAATTAACATGAAGCACATAAATTAAGAATACTTTTTCATAGTACCAAAACTTTTTGTATTTATATATAACACCATTAACACCCAAAACGATATTAATATAGTATTTTTAATAAGTGTTAACAAACGATTAAGCGATAAATAAAATAAATATTTGAGAATGTCAAATAAATGTTTAAGAATATGTTTTTTTAAGAATCTGATTTTAATGTCAAATATATATATAAAAGAAATATTTCTTAAATATATAAAAATCTGTCGCGTCAGACCTACATGAAATATTGCAAAAAAATATTTGTTAAATATGTGATTTAAATGCCAAATATATATTTAAAAGAAATATGCCATAAATATTTCATTTAAATGTCAAATAAACATTTACAAGAAATATTTTTATAATATATAAGAATCTGTCGCGTCAACCTATATTAAATATTGCAAAATAATATTACTGTAATATTTGTGTGCTATCTGGGATAGGTTAGGTGAATAAGTGAAATTCTATAAATTATTTACCTAATTTAAACCAATACAGACAGATTAGTATATTAAGGAGAGAGTAACTAATAATGGATTTACGGATTTTTACTTATGCTGCTGCTTTGACACCCTTAAATTCGGCTGAATTAAAGCGTTCGTCGCTTTTTAAAGATTAAGTAACCAAAAAAATATGAACACATGATAAATTGTTTGTTGGCGCTTTAAGGAATCCTCCTGAAGCGATTTTTCAGTTTAACATAAACTATAAATTATTTAAATCCGCAAAATAATTAATGAAACACAACGACACAACTAAACACTATGCACAGAAAGTAAACAATCCGCCATTTATATGACCAGAGACGTCACAACCAATAGGATTGCGTTTTAGAGATTCATGAATAATTTGAATTTTAGCTGAATTTGTTTATTAAATATTTAACAAAACAGCAATAGATAGATAAGATAAACTTAGATTAATTTTCAGTTTGTAGGAATCTTTGATACAATGAAAACATCCCATTGCTATCGGTCGTTAATTCTATAAATGTCTCGGTCGGCAGACAGGTAGAACCTTAATTGCAAAAAAACTGCAATTATCTGGTCTGGTGACCTCAAGCAGGAGAAAATCGGATTATGCAAGGGCTTGAATCGGATAAAGGCGTCACTTTCTTCAATCCCTTGAAGCACAAGATGTGCTTGCTGCACCTTGTAGAAGATTACTTTCACTTTGGTTCTCTTCCAATTCACGTCCATCTGATCCACAAACAAACATAACAATTGTCGATGATTTCGATGATGTAAAAAAATGACAAAATTCTTTTGGCGCAATCAGTGCGCCCCGGTTACGAAGACGAAAAGAAAGCATTCGGATTCCTAATGTGTTTTTGTTGATCTAATGGCTTCAACCAGGAACTGACTGTGTCAATTGTCGTGTGCGTGTGTGTGTGTGTTGAATTGCCAAGTTTACATGAGATTTTCACAACATTTGTTTAGTTTTCTGCAACATTTCGTGTTTAAACAACCAGCGGCTGATGAGCGCATTTTTTAAAAAGTTTACTGGCTCTAGGTCAGGAAATGGSGGTGGCCAGAACTRTTCCACGACTTAAAWAMKGCTTTTTGGAAGATCTATKAGATGAATTCTGGTTGTTTTGGTCAATTTACYYAAAATTAATTAAGTTAAACCGCGTATATGTAGGTACGAGAGCGGAAAATGAGTGAAAAGTCTTCTAGATCATTCGTCTGGTKATTGTCMCGCTTAAGAAATGAGCGATTTATGAATAGTTAAGAATTGAAKGTTTTTGACTGTTCTAAAAACTGGCGAATTCTTCAGATTTTGYCCTCGTTTTTTTTTAGATGAGAAGCTTTGCTACAATCCTYCCTTAAGRGAGGAAATTCCTCCTTAMAAAGAAAAAGTCTYGTRAACGATCAGAAATTTGCAACATTTTCCRTAATATACGCTCTTGRAATTCGGCGATTGCCWAAATTTTMGCTTCTATCTATTTAGAGGTTAGGAATTTCCGATGAAGCCTAATTACGAAATACAGCGCTTGAAATGYTCTATCTGAAAGCTYCTAASGAYAATTCCSTTATTTTTAMGCGTTTAGAACATATAGCCASTTGAACTTTGCACGGTTCCCAGGAAGGTTTAAATTTGACTTCCACTGCTTTAGAGGTTATATATTGCTACATAAGTTCTGGCGTTTTACACGGTTGTCGAATATGAGAGCGTTCAAGAACTTTGGCTTTTTAGAGGTTAGAAACTTATGAGAAAATCTGATAAGCCAAAGAYTACTAAACCCTCTATTGAAAATAGTMTAGTGATTATTTCGAAGTTTTYAACCGTTTCGCAAATAAAAGCTTGCAGTCTTTAATTGTGCGTTGCAATTGGACATTTGCGCTTATAAYTTTGTAAATATCAGGRACTTCTAATGAAGCCTAATTAGGCAAATGCAGCTCTTGAAACGCTTTACATAGAAGCTGCTGAAGATAATTTACGTATTTCTGCCTCTTTCGGAAACATACGCTTTTAAAGTTCGACGGTTTCTCAGAAGTTGTAAATTTGACTTCTACTGTTTTAGAGGTTAGGAGTTTGACTGAAAAACCGCATTTAGTACTTACTGGTTCTTCACATAGTATGGGAAAAAGTCTTCAAGATTACTGAGTGGTTTTAAACTGTTAGCGTAATATGGACATATTTGTGAAGTCTACAACTTTAGCGTTTTAGAGGCTATAAACTTTTGATAAAATCTGATAAGCCAAAGACTACTAATCCCTCTGTTGAAAAAATATTAGTAAAAATTCCGATACTTTGGACCGTTTGCAAAATACAAGCACGTAAACTTGCGGTGTTTAAATGAGCGTTGCAAATGGACATTTGCGCTTATAACTTTATAAATATGAGGAATTTCTGATGAAGCCTAATTAGGCAAATGCAGCTCTCGGAACGCTCAATATAAAAGCTCCTGAAGATAATTTTCGTATTTTGGTCTGTTTCGGAAACATACGCTATTAAATTTCACCGGTTTCTTAAAAGTTGTAAATTTGACTGCTACTGTTTTAGAGGTTAGGAGTTTGCTGAGAACCGCATTGACCACCTACTAGTTTTTAAGATAGCTTCTGGAAAAGGCCTTAAACATTATTTTGCGATTTTAACCAGTTGCGCACTATAAAAATGGTCAAAAATTCACCAGATTCGGTTTTTCAGAGGTTAGAAACTTCCTTAAGCTGATCCTTAATCCTGATAAAAAAAAAACGAATCAACAAAACGAACTATCGAAAATATTTTAGCGATTATTCGGAAATTTCCCACCATTTCCAACTGTGGCGTTTAACCTTGCTACAATTAGAGATTTTCGCTGATAACTTTTTAAATATCAGCAATTATCAGGGGAAAACAGCTCTTGAAATCTGCAATCGAAAAGCTCCTAATGATAATTTGCCTAGTTCTATCCGTTTCGGAAATATACGCTTTTGAACTGGGATGTTTCCTGGAAACTTCGCAATTTTACTCCTATCGTTTTTGAGGTTAGGAATTTTAAGTAAAACCTCACCAGGAAAAGGTAGCTCTTGAGATGCTCTATAAAAAACGTCATTGGAACCGATCCGATATTTTCAACCCCGTCTGATATATCGATTGTTTCACACGTTTGGGGTCTCAAAATTCAGATTTTAGCTTCTATTTTTTGGAACTCGCAAATATAGAAGTCCTTAATCTCGCTCCTGCTTCCTTTCAATCTGCCTGAAGAAAAACCGAAAGTGTCCCAGACTGGAACTATATTTGGACACCGTTCAAAGCTCTCAAGTTGAATCATCAAACTGTCTAACCAGCTTGGGTAGGTTCACTTGGCTCACCCAGTATATTTCTGAAAACCGGACAAATATACAATGGCAGAAGAAACAACAACAAGTTATCTAACTGTATGACGGGGCCAGTTGAATAATTTCGGCCAGGTTTCGGAAAACCGTGCATACTTTCACTTTTCACCACGCGCCCAATGACCAATCAAACACCCAGTAGAGTATAAAAATATAACTTTAATGCTACGCAATTATTTGTCACCGTTTCTTAAAGCTAATGAGCATATTAAAGCCAAAATTCGCGTACATCTAGAACTATATACAGAAAGGACCTCACCGTACATCGCTTTGGAGGTAGGATCAGATGCATCTCACTCAACATGTCAGCCAACAATCAAAATAAATTACTTCTTAAAATGGAAAATCGGTTGGAGCCTATTTGTGGTAGCCGGGTGGGCCGTACTGGGCGGCGCCACCAGCTCCTGCTCCCGCTCCTACTCCTGCAGAGGCGAAGCTTCCGGATATTGAGCCTCCGTTGCCCAGGTCAGCGCCAGATATGCTTCCTCCATGTCCAGACAGATCGGCGTTGGAAAGATCGACTCCGGATCCAGAAATTCCTGCTCCTCCAGCTCCAGAAATGCCAGAAATTCCCGCTCCTCCAGCAAAACCAGCGGCAGCAGCCTCCTTCTGGGTCTTGTAGCGGATGAAGTAGACTTCGGGCTTGCTGGGCTGAGTTGGGGCTGGGGTCGGGATGACAATCTCCGGTTGTTCTTCCGGCTTCTTAACCAGGACGTAGACCAGGGTCTTCTCCTCGTTCTGAGGCTGAGCTGGGATGATGGGGGCGGTTGGGTTGGGCGGGCTGGGGGCCTTGATGAAGATGATCTTGTAGTGCTTCTGAGGCGCCGCCACTGGGTAGACTCTTTGAGGACGCTGCACTTCCGGCTCCTCTGGGGCCACGTGGACGTAGACGTGCTTTTGCACGGTGGGGCCAGCGGAAGCGTAGCCGTCGCTCACGAAACCTCCTCCACCACCTCCTCCGGAGGAGAAGCTGGAGGAGCTGTCGAAACCACTGGAGATTCCTCCGAATCCGCCTCCAACTCCATGACCTGAAGAGCCGAAGGATCCGCCCCCGATCCCAATGCCTTGTCCAATTCCTTGTCCAATTCCTTGTCCAATTCCTTGTCCAATTCCTTGTCCAATGCCGCCAGGCGATGGATAGCTGTAGCCAACTGGAGGCTCAGGACGAGCTGAGACAACAGCGACGAAAAGTGCGAGCTGAAACACGCAATTCACCGGTGAGTCTCACTTTCACTCATCAACCGCCACGCTACTTACCAGATATGACTTCATTCTATCCAAATGATGTAAATCGGTCAGTGTGAGACCCCGATTTAAACTATATCTGAACTTTTTATAGTTTAAATTCACGCGACCCCCTCTCGTCGCTTTAGAATGGCGCGATGATGGGTACCTACGTACCAAATTGTTGCATGCAAGACGGTTTTTTTGGGCGATTTGTATTAAGTGAATGGTTTTTTTTGATTGTCCATCATTTACACAAGGTGAGGTCTGAATCGCGGATAATTAGCGTCAATGTTACTTTGAGTGTTGTGTCATCGCCGCAGCGCGTTTGGCTCATTTGGGTTCATCTGCTTATGGAAAATGTCCGGTTTTCATTGAGTTTAGTAGGGAAATGTTTGCTAAGTTCACACAAAAGGTCCCCAAATTAGTACAACAATACAAAAGCGTTATTTTCTAGCGATAGAATGACCTCCCAAAGTTTGCTAAGTCTTAACATGTTTTGCTGCCTCTTGAACTTGACTCTGTTTTAAAAGAATTCAGGTTTTTTTGTGTTCAATTGACAAAAGTGGGTGTCTTAAAACTTCTCTTTTTTTGTTACTCTAGCGAGATTTTCATTGATCGTTGCTCTAGGAAGAGTACCAGAGTTCCTTAGAGATACTTTGGATTTTCTTCAATTCAGGAAACTACGCTAAAATTTGGATTGATTTTTGAGCGTTTTGAGCAAATTCGGCCCTGAAATGAGTGAATTCTTGCTCGCTTTAAACAAGAAAGTCTGCCTCAACAAACACAGTTGAAGGGGACGACAAAAATGAGCAGATTGCTTCTGAAAAACGTTTTTTTTTTTTTGGTAAATAAAGTTACTCTTTCGTCATTTTTGCCTCTAATTATTGAAGATAAAGCTTTCCTCAAAGAGACGTCAGATTTTCTTCAATTGAAGACATGATGCTCGACTGTGCTGAAACATTTTTAGTCCAAGCATTAGCAGGATTTATCGAAAATTTACCAAAATTTTGAGCCAATTCTGGCATTAAAATCTGGATTCTTGTGCGTTTTATCGAAGATAATCTGCCTCAAAGCGCACAGTTGAAGAACCAGAAAAATACGCAGATTACTTTTTAAACACGGTTTTTTGTAAGAAAATTTGCACTGTTTTGCCTTTGATTCTGCTGAATATTAAACAAGAAACATGAAACGTTTTTCCTCTGAAGCTGGTTGATTGAAAACTTTCCAAAATTTGGATTTATTTTGAATTTTGTGTGCAAATTTGGTCCTTAAAAGAGTGGATTCTGGTGCGATTAATGGGTGAAAGTCTGCCTGAAAGCGTACAGTTGAAGAACAAGAAAAATAAGCAAATTGCGTCTCAAAAGCTGTCTTCTCGCAAGAAAAGTTGCAATGTTTTGTCTTGTTTTCCTAGAAATATTGAAGCAGAAACCTTTCCCAAAAAGACGTCAGATTTTCTGCAATTCAAGAAGGAAACTCCTGAATAGTTTTTTGATCAGAGCATCGTCAGGATTATTTGAAAATTTCCCAAAGTTTGGATTTATTTTACGTTTTTTGAGCAAATTTGCTCCGCAAAAGGGTGGATTCCTGTGCGTTTAATAGACAAAAGTTAGCCTCGAAAGGAACAAGATAAATCTGAAAATCGCTCTGTTGAAACGGTTTTTTGGTAAGAAAATTTCGTAATTTTTCCTTCTAAAAATTGAAAAAGAAACTTTTGTCCAAACGACGTCAAACTTTATTCAATAGAAGGAAAGAAAACTCGGTTGTTTGAATATGAGACGTTTTTAATCGGAGCATAGTCAGCATTATTTGAAAATTTCTCAAAGTTTGGATTTACTTTACTTTAAGTTTTTTGAGCAAAATTGGTCTTCAAAAGGGTGGATTCCTGTACGTTTAATAGACAAAAGTTAGCCTCGAAAGGAACAAGATAAATCTGAAAATCGCTCTGTTGAAACGGTTTTTTGGTAAGAAAATTTCGTAATTTTTCCTTCTAAAAATTGAAAAAGAAACTTTTGTCCAAACGACGTCAAACTTTATTCAATAGAAGGAAAGAAAACTCGGTTGTTTGAATATGAGACGTTTTTAATCGGAGCATAGTCAGGATTATTTGAAAATTTCTCAAAGTTTGGATTTACTTTACTTTAAGTTTTTTGAGCAAAATTGGTCCTCAAAAGAGTGGATTCTTGTGCGTTTAAGATACGAAAGTTAGCCTCAAAAGGCACAGTTAAGGAACAAGATAAATCTGCAAATTGCTCCGTTAAAACAGTTTTTTGGTAAGGAAATTTCGTAATTTTTTCTTCTAAAAATTGATAAAGAAACTTTTCTCCAACCGACGTCAGATTTTCTTCATTAGAAGAAAAAAAATTCGATTGTTTGATTATGACACGTTTTTAATCAGAGCATCATGAGGATTTATTGAAAATTTGAAGTTTAGTTTAAGTGTTGTGTGCAAATTTGGTCAAAAAAGCGTGGATTCTTGTGCGTTTAATAGAGGAAAGTGTGCCTTTTTTCTTAGGTTTTAGAGCCGCAAAAATAAGCGTCAAAATTGTTTTTTTTTGGTAAGGAAAGTTTCACTATTTCGTAATTTTTGCCTGTGAATATGTAAAAAGAAAGTGTGCTAAAAAACGTAAAACTTTCTTCAATTTAGGACAGGAAACGCGTTTGGTTGAGCACGAAACGGTTTTAGTCAGACCGACGTCTGGGTTTATTGAAAATTCCCCAAAAATTTTGATTTATTTTGAGTGTTTTGGAGATTAGAAAATGTGGAAGAAGAAAAGCTTTTCTTAAAAAGCCGTAACATTTTTTCAATTCATAAGAAATTGTTAAGAACCAACGTCAGGGTGTTTGGAAAAGTTTTCAAGATTCCGATTTATTTGGAAAATTTTCACCAGCTTCAAACCTGAAAAAGTTTGACTCTCGTGTGTTTAACAGAGCAAAAACAGTTCACCTTGTAACGCCCAATTGAAGAACCGTAAAAATAAGCTAATTGCTCTTCAAATACAGTTTTTTCTTATAGTATTTCGTCATTTTTTTGCGTCTGAAAATTGCAGAAAAGTGCCTCCTCAAAGAGATTCATGTTGATGCTTAGATCATCTTCACGTGGATAAAAAAACTTTAGTATTCAAAATCTGGACTTATTTTTGATGTTTGAAGTAACCTGAAATCGCACACAAAGAACATAAAAAATACTCAAATTGATCTTGAATATGTTTTTTTCATAAGGAAAGTTACAGTATTTCGTCATTTTTTTGCATCTAAATATTCAAGAAAAAACTTTTTTAAAAAAAAATTCAAAATCTGGATTTGTTTTTAGGGTTTCAAGTCCAACTCAAGTCGCACACGAAGAACAAGAAAAATCAGCAAATTGATGATTACAGCCTTTCCAGCCAGGCCAGCTAATGTTGAGCAATTTTTTGGAAAAAACCAGTCGATTTTTGTGCTTTGCAGAGCGAAAACGGTTATGCAAACCAGAAAACCCTCCTTTTGAAAGGCAGATTTTCCTTAGAACAAGAATTTGGTTCTTTAAAAATAAAACGAATCTTCCAGTAAATGACCACCAGCAAGCTGACCAATTTTCCCCTTACATAAGTGTTTATTAGAAGTCGTAAACCGTCCATAAAACACCAAAATTGACTGTTTGACTTCTCCGATCAATCAACAGTTGCATAATCGTTAATCGTTCTGAGCAAATTATGTGGAGAATGTTCGTCGATTGCAACCTGCATGAATAGGTGCTAATTGCTCTTCAGCTGACAAATATTAGGGTTGCTAATTAAGGTGGCATTGACTCAAAGTGACGCTTTAAACAGACAAACATTGTCCTGTGGACTCATCAATTAGACACTTTGGGGCGTGTGGAAATGTTTCGATTGCATCGGGCAAGTAGAGGGATTTAAATCAGCACCATTCACATATTTTGATTAATTTAAAGAATGGCCAAAAATAGTTGATCAGGTGGGCCGCATCATAAACAAGAATCTTCTGCAGCTTTCACATCGATTTGCCATGCAACTTTGAGCAAAAATGCCATTAAATCCGCACCGAAATGCAAATCCACTGTTTCTTTATTACTTCTAGTGTTAAAAAATGCTTGAACTACACCAACAATTCAATTTATTGATGGAATGTGGCGAAGAAAGTGCTTCCGGGTTCACTGGTTGGGTGCAAACGCAGAATTAGAAAAGTCCACAGCTACGAAATCAGGAGATGTAGGAGGCCAGGGCTTAAGGAATTTAATTGAAAAATAGAGAAAGTTGCTCTAGGTCTCAAGGAAACATTCCAAATCAAACTTGCCAATTTTTGAAATCAAATATATACATTTTCTCTATTTGCTCATTTTTTGTTTTTACACATTTTCGATTAGGAACTTTCGTTTTTTTATGAACTACGGTTTTCTTTTAATTTCTCTTTTGATAAATTGAGCGATTTTCTAATTTAGCATCGAGGATTTTTCAATTTTTTTCTGATAATTGACATACAACTTTGAAATTATCGTAAAATTGTCCACAACTTTCGTTTCAATTGAAACTTTCCACGATTTTAGCGAAAGTGTTTCTCTTAAAAATGATGTAAAAATCTGTTTTCGGGCTTAAGTAATTTTTAACGATTTTTTGTATGATCCCTGATGATTTTTTCAAAGATAAATCAAACACATTTGACGATTTTTCAAAATTCTTCAAAATTTTTTTTTAATTCCAATTTTTCTGGAACTGAGAGATTTGCGAAAATATTCAGTGGAGAAAAATGAACAAATAATAATTTAGTTTTTGGATTGAGGAAAAATACTTATTGGAGAAAGTTTTTTATTTCTTAAAAATCTCCTCTTTCCGGAAGCTCTTTTTGAGTCTTTTTGAGAACTTAAAGTTTTATTTAAAATTCAACAGAACGCAAATGGTTTCCTTTTAAATCTCCCTTTAGACTTTAAAACCTTCAAATTTCGATAAATTTGAGTCAATTCTTCATTTAAAGTCTTAACTTTTAGACTCTGTTCTTGCTTTTCGCTTCTTGCGTAAAAACTACTTCAAAAATGACTCTTTTCGACACAATTTTTAAAAATCTTCATCTCAAAGCAAACACGAAAGCTTATCCAAAACTGAAAATTTGGTTGAAAATCCGACAAAAATTGATATATTTTTATCCAAATCCCTGTTTAAGGCATAAGTTACGCTTGACTCTTCTTATTTATGAGTGAAACAACATCAAGAACATTAATTTTTGACATTTTACTTATAAATCTGCTCCTTCAAAGATAA